CCCCCCTCCGCCAGCGCTGCGAGGATCGGGATGCCGCCGGCCTGCCTTTGATCTAACAGAAGAGGAAACAGCAGCAGCTCCCAGAGCGGGTGTCAGAACAATTCCCTGCTCTGCAGCACTGCCCAGCCACCCAAAGCATCCGCTCCTCCTCCAAGAGTACCTCACTGCGGACAAAGCAACGCTGCTGAAGGTGTGTTTTGGCTGGAGGCTTGCTGTTCCGCTTCAAATCTGCAGGCTCTCTACCTTAATGGTTCTCTGGTTTTACCACTGTCTTAATTTAACAAAAGCAATTACTTCTGTGTACAGATCTGTTTGTAGACGCCCTCACACCACCACTGCCCGAGCACCGCTGCTGCCGGGGTGTTCCTACGCAGCCCAGGAGTCTCACGCTCCGCACCACCGGGTGCCACACCGTCAGGAAGCCAGCGGCGTTTTACAGACACCCACCCCGCTGCAGAGCAACCAGCCCCCCGGCTCCGCTCAGCCGGTTCCCACTCTCCCTGCAGCGGCAGAGCCCGCAGATGACGGCTGCACAGCCAGCTTCTGCGTCGCCGCCTCTCATCACGAACGCTGTGCTGCGCAGACAGCAGTTACCTGCGTTTCTGCCTTAGCGCCTTCCGTACAGTTGCTGACTGCACAGCTCTTAACTTCCACAACTTCAGTTTTTCAGCTTACTCCCGAGATGCATGGCTGATGGCCAAAGGGTGGATTCATTGCTGAAGGGCAAGCTGAATAGTGAGGCCACTGCCATTACTTTCCTAAGGAAGGTGAAGCTGCAAGCAGGAAGATGCTGTTACTACGGTAAAAATGCGGTACCCAGATAAAGACATCCAAGGCAGAGTTCTCAGTCGCTTGTACAGACTGGCAATTAGCATTATTTGTAAGTACAAGGCAGTGTATCAAAGCCTGGCCAAGCCCAAGCCCTCCCTGGGACAAGCACTCTGCGCACAGCGATGTTTTCCCAACGCCAGACAGGTACGAGACAGGAGAGCAGCACTGTAACGAGTCCTTGCGTCTCACCGGGGAAATAGAGCCGGCTGAGGACAGGACACAGACCTGGCTGCTCCCAGCCCGCTCTGGGGACAGAATCCAGTTCCATTGCCTTGGCAGTCAAAACTCCCAAAACACTTGTTTTGACAGAAAGCTCGCAGCACACCAGCTCCCAGCGAACTGGAGCGGACAGAGGCAGCATTTGCCAGCATGAGCGACATTCCGCTGCAGGCTGGCAGAATCCGCCAGGGATAACCCGCTCCACAAAACACAGCTGGGAAGACGAGCTGGCTGTGGAACGCGGGGCTGGCAAAGGGCTAAAATCATCTCTTGCGCTGAAGATCTGCTCTCACCCTCCTTTTGTGAGGTAAGTGCAACTAACACAGCCTCAGGTAACTAACAGAGAATGCAACAGGAGGTAAAAACCCCAAACGCTTCTATTACTTACCCAGAAGAACAGGGAAGAACGAGAATAAGCGACCTTTTTCCTTATGAGAACGGGGAACAAAACCCTTCTTTATCCTAACACATTTTAAAGGGTGAACAAGTAGCTCCAAGAGCATTTCAGAAGTATCAAAGGGGGAAGCTATCATTTTTGAGAGCATGTGAGGTGAAGTTATCTCCATCTCTTACCAGTGGCATAAGAAAATACAAGCTAGATACTACACACCGCAAAGCCTGTGTAACTTCATACAGAACTATGTATTTACCTAGACAGATATGTAATGACAGGTTTCATCCCTACGTATTCCTGTAAGTCAATTGCTTATCTGAAGGCAGTTTGATCTGAAATCCGAAATCCTCACCAGTTCAGATGCTAACCAGCACAGCAGGGATCACAATGCCTTACTCCCATCTAAGGCTGTGACTTTATTCTCCTGTGCTCCACGCTGGAATAGTTCAATGTCACATTTTAACAGCAAAGTCTCCCTTTCTGGCCTCGGCAACTCAGACTACGGGAGGTGGACAGAAACAGCTGAAGGCCTGCTAGGGATGGTCACAGCTGGGGGGCTTTGTGCAAGACTTTGCTGATGATCACTGCAAGCCTTCCTGTTTGGACAGCCCTGGCAGCGTTAGGCCAACAGCTGACTCACCGCCCCGTGGCCTCAGTCATGGCAACACCACCGCTCTCCATTTACAGCAGTACAGCATCGGGGCAACCAACAACTCCGCTGTCTGCAGAACCTTTTCTTCCCGCAGCGAAGGTTTTCTCTTCAGCTGCTGAGTGGCATTGTTGTTGGGGGAATAACATCTCCGACAAGTATTTTGTGGATGATTTGACAGCTGTTGACTAAATCTCTGAAAGCCCCAGGCAACAAATATCAAGCACCTCGCTCTTGGTGTACGCAGCATTAGACCCAGCCGCTCCACGATAATCTCTGTGGTGCTCCAGCTTTTGTGGGTTGCCATTTATCTACACGAGAAAGGAGGCAAAGCAGCCTCAGCCATCCCCGGACTGGTTTGGACACAAGCCCGCAGTGTGGGAAACCCAGATTAGTGGGCCCCCTCTAGTGGCACACTGGCCGGGGAGGCTGGCCCGTGCCTCAGAGCCCCGCTTCACAGCTCCGACACGGCAAGGAACGGACGAGATCAGAACAACCTCTAAGGGATGACCATCACAACACCTAAAGTACCAAACGCACTTTAATGAGTTCCAGATTTTGTTCCCGGAAGGAATTTATAACATGTCAGTACGTTAGGTGGGTACACAACTTCCCCTGAACTACAGGCATGAGGAGAACCGATTTTAATATACTAGGTACTTAAAATTAACCTCCGAAACCAGTTTTCCACAGTATTAGAAATAAGGCATGTTTCAGGCATGCAAGTGGCCGCTATAGCCAGTCCTCAGATGCCGTATTTGCCCTTTAGTTCTTCCACTTTTGCTATGTAAGCTTTCATTGCATCTTCTTTGGACATTCCTGAAAGACAGAACACAGGGGCAGTCAGACGACACCTTTCACATCCAAGTCACAGCTCCTTCCTACAGCACGTAGCAGCACTCCACCGAAGAGCAAAGAAGCCAAGAAGGTCACCTGGCTGCGAATCTAGTACTAAAGTTCTAAACAAATGTGTTTGGCAGTCGTGAGAAAACAGAGTTTTGAAGCAAAGTTACACTTGTATAAAGAGCAACTAAACAGTGTAGTAGTTTTATTAAGGCAATCCACAATTATTACAGGAAAGCTATTCAATCAACTTAGACTCCATTTAGACGCAGCGCTGGCTCCTTACAACACCAGGAAAATCCCATTTTCATAGATCAAACCACTTGTTTGGCTCCTCACTTAGAGCAGAGAGCCCAGCTGCATCTTCCAGTTCGGAAAGCTTTAGAAGAAACAGTAACTGGAGGGAGAGCTCAGTCCCTGGGGACTAGGCTCGGACCTGGAAAACAAGATTTACCTTTCTGCTGCTGCTGCAGTTCTCCTTTGTGTAACACCTTGGGCCTGTTTTGCATCTTAATGCCCTTTCAGACAGTCTAATTTTTTCAGGATTACTTCTGCCTGGCAGATGTAATCAAAAGTAAGAGTTTATTATCATGGCATTCTGAAGTCTTAGAACTCTTGTCTTATAAGGCAATACTATTTTATTTCTTGCTGAACCACATAGGATTTTCTGACTAGTTTGCCTGTGATGCTATTTATTCATTTTAATTTTTATTTTTTAAGCAGACACTTACCTTTCAATGCACTCCAGGCATCCCACTTTGCTTTGCCTTTGAAGTCCAGCATACCAGGACGGTCTGAAAGAGACAGGATAAGCAGCAGAATTAGTTTGTGTGGGCTGGGTGTACATAGTACCCACTCCTTTCCTGAAGGCTATTCAGCTCTTAAATATGATAAAACATAATAGTTCATCTTTACAGCTATTACTTACTGACCTGTAGTCAGGAGATCACCTCAAAGGAGCACGTTGGAATGCTGTTGGTGGCAACAGAGATATTCTCTGTCAAGTTCCCTTCAGACAGCAGCATTTGAGCAGGAAAGCACCAAATAGCGTGATTTGGTTGTATTGTACTTTAATGACACTGCTGTCGCATGACAGCTAGCCAATTAAAGAACATCATCAGCTCTAAAGTAAAGCAGAACTGCCCTAAGGTGCATTATAGACCAAGACACAAAACCAAAAGCTAGTAGCATACAGCTTAGAATTCATTATCATAAAGTTAATGGTACATTTCTAACATACAGCTCATCATTTTTCTGTCATCTAGGGGTATAGCCTCTGAATTCTGATTCACTTCATTACAGGCCACATTGCAGCCAAACAGAGAAGAAATGAATGAGATCTGGGTGCATATACAATTATTCTTCACACAGAGCCCCCTCTGTGTTTTCACTTCTTCTCTGCCTCCTTAAAGACAATTCTTAGGATTAACAAACGGAACTGGACAGCAGCCTGCACATTAGCCACAGAAGAACCCTTGCCCTGCTCACATGGCAGCGTGACCTGCAGCGCTGCTTGGCAGCTCCACTCCTCTCCAACAAAACCCCCCATTAGCTCACTCTCCAACGGATTGCTTTTCTAGCCAGCTCCTGTTGGCTGCTGCTTCACAAGAATGCAGCGACTTACAGAAATGCTGGTATATCAACAGCACCATTTCACCTTGGCAACACTAAAAATGCTACGGTTCAGCCACGCCAAAAGGATCATATCTTAAAGCCAGCTCTTTTCTCCCTCCATGCTGCCCACCTCGGGGAAAAAAGAGAGTAAGGGCCCATGCTTACCATTTCCCATATGCTTCACTGCCAGCTTCGAATTCAATCAACACTCAGTAAACCTCACCAGCAACTGGGTCAGGAGGCCAGCGCTCCAAACAAATGACCTTTTTCCTTTCTAATTCTAGTTACTCACGTGTTACACAAGGTCAATGGAGACGGGCTTCATTCTAAACGATATATAACAATTCTAAATGATATATAATGATTACTCCTAGACCGAGCTGCCAGCGACAGGAGGGGAGAAAAAGAAATAGTAGGAGAGGCTTTGCATAGGGTACCTGCAGAGGCGTTTCTGCTACAGTCCTTCCAACATGCGGCATTTCATTGCAGTTCTTACAAAAGTGTCTCCTGCTACACACACCTGCATCATTTTCTTCTGTTTTGGCTTTCCAACACTATTTTCAGCAGCCGATCCAGTTCAAACTGCGCCCTGGCCCCCAAGCACCGCCACCCCACAGCTGCACACCTTGCCTTGCTGTTAGAGCCAGTTCAGCTGAGAAGCGCTGGCATTAAAGCAGCACCCCTGACCCTGGCAGCCGCCTCACTGACGGAGCCCTCCAAAAGCCCCCCAAGCCCAGCACCTGAACTTCTTCCCTCTGAGGGTAACGGAGCACTGGAACAGGCTGCCCAGGGAGGTTGAGGAGTCTCCTTCTCTGGAGATATTCAAGACCCACCTGGACAAGGTCCTGTGCAGCCTGCTGTAGGTGACCCTGCTTCGGCAGGAGGGTTGGACTAGATGACCCACAGAGGTCCCTTGCAA